GCTATGGTAAGTGCTGTGAAATCTAAACAGAATGGCAAAGAAAACAAAAAGGAAGACAAAAGGAACTTGGTCTGTGACTACTGTAAGAAGCCTAAGCATACAAGAGACACTTGTTGGAAGCTTCACCCACATCTTGTACCGACCAGATTGAAGAATAAGAAAGGAAATGCGCACATGGCAGTTAACGATGATACTCTGCCCCCCCTACTACAGCTGCTTTGGAGTCCGTTGCAGCTGCTGCAGTAAGGGTCGAGCTTGAGAGGTTTGGATTACTTCTGAATCAGAGGGATACAGCTAGTTCCAGTTCAGCCGTAAGCGGACAACAAGGTACAGGTAGCACAGGTGGAGCTCACTCCATCTCCTTTGCCCACACAGGTAGTTCACATGTCACTGCAAACTATGTTTCTGCTTTAGGTAAGGAGAGATCTCCTTGGTGTATAGACTCTGGAGCCTCAGAGCATATGACCCATTGCTCCACTATTTTCTCCTCTTATCAGCTCTGTTCTGGCAGGGATAGGATCTCTACAGCTGATGGATCCCATGTTCCTATTGCTGGGAAGGGATCTGTCAAGATTAATGATTCTATTTGCTTACCCTCTGTCCTCCATGTTCCTAGATTGAGCACTAATTTGTTATCTGTTAGTAGTTTGACTAAGAATCTGAACTGTTCAGTGATTTTTTCTCCTGGACGTTGTATTTTGCAGGATCTGGATTCAAAAAGGACGATTGGGAGTGGTCGTGAAGTGAATGGAATCTACCTCCTGGATGCTCTCCCTCTTCACCAAAGCCATCATGTTTGCAGACATAGTGAATCAAAATCTGTGGGTCAGATTATGCTTGGCACAACCGTCTGGGTCATTTATCCTTTTCTTCTTTGAGTTGTTTGTTTCCAAAATTGTTTGAGTCTATGAGTCTGTCAAGTTTGAAGTGTGAGGGTTGTGAACTCGGAAAGCATTGTAGACACTCTTTTAAACCTAGTAATAAAAGATGTTCTTCTCCCTTTGATGTTATTCATTCAGATGTGTAGGGCCCTTATCATGTTCCCTCTATGGGCGGCTATCGCTATTTTCTCCTGTTTGTGGATGATTTCTCTCGATATTCCTGGATTTACCTGATGAAATCACGCGATGAAGTACCATCATTGGTGAGGCAATTCCACCAGATGATACTAACA